CATTTGGAGCAGAGATCCCCCATCATGCAGTGCTCCTCTGCTTCTCTGGCCGCAGAGTTCAGTGCAGTCCTTGCCTTGGAATCTCTGTTCTCCACTCTCATTGCTAATGGAGGTGCCTCCTTGTCCCATCTTCAATGTAAATGAGACTAGGGAAGTTGGTTTACTCCTATCACATTTGTCCAGAGGGGTTAGGAGTGTCTCCCACTGCATCTTCATTGCCTTTTGTAAGTCCTTCTTCTGATCAATTCCAGTTCAGGTGGGGGGGTGGGGGGTAAGGTGAGTCTTTCGTGAGTTAGACAGGCTGGGTACTGTGCCAGGGTTCCCCAAGAACACATTGCTGGCAGGTAACAGGCTGAAAGTCACTTTGGGTAAGTTCATGCAAACAAGTTACTGAAGATAACAAGTAAGGTAGGGTGGAAGCTTATAGCACTCCCATTATTTTGTGATAAATGCCTATCTCCATACTCTTAGCCAACAGCAAGTGCAAGGAAATTTACCCCCGTTTCATCAAGGAGTAAGCAACCTCACTTTTACCTGTGGAAAGAGCAGACACACAAGCAGATTCTTCAGCGTAGTCAATATGCTGTAAGGTCACGCCCTAGTTTAACTCCTGGTAATTTGTTTGTATCCCTATTCCCTTTGTGTCTCTATTAGATACTGTTTAGGACCACTCATGTGATGAAGGTTTTAATGGCAGGAATTTTTATTTCTAGAAAAGTTACAGCTAAGAAAAAAGATGATGGCAGTCTGGAAACAAGGAGGAATGGCAATGAAAATAATGGATACATTCCCGAGGAGTCATGGCACCCAGAACAAATGCCAAGTGAGTCAAACGTTGGTGACAATGGAATTGTGTCCCTAAATTTCAAGAAACATGCATTTGGAATCCATGCTACTTAGAGAAAGCCTTAATGCTTTCCTTAATTTACAGGATGTTCTAAGGAAACTCTCAGCTTTTGAGACCTTAGAAGTACTTTCTAGACCTGGACCTTTGTCCAAAAATCAAACTAAACTTGAAAGTTTAAATTTAAAAAATGCCTTCCATGTGCCTTATAATTTCCAAATTCCTGCCAGGATGAGGGGTGGGTACCAGAATCTTATAAGAAAGGCTGGTTTTGCAAAAGTTTGCTGTCTGACTGAGACATGAAATCAAGTCATGAGATTTCCAGCCCAGTATTATAGACATTCTGACAGTTCAGCAAAGTTCTGAGATATTGGATATCACTTTTTTTTTACTACAGTTAAAACTTTGAATGTTTTAAGGCTCACAATTCATCACCATTGACTTGCTAACCATGCAACATCATTATGGCCACAGATGATGCTTCCAAATTCTTAATTAATTTATTGTAACAAATATAAACATCCAGAACTCTTAGTTCAGAGGTGATACCTTTAATTAGGCCAACTGAGAAATTGCAAAATATATATATTTTTCTGCAAGCTTTTTTTTTTAAATTTCTCAGTTGTTCTAATAAAAGATATAATCTCTGAGCCAAGAGTTCTAGATTTTTGCATTTCTTTTTGTCTCAGACCAACATGGTATACATCCTTGTAACAAATGTTGCATTGTTCATCTGTGCAATGTAATCTTCAAAAATATTGTCTCTGGGAATGATACCACAGGGTAACATTTACCTCATTGTTTTTCAGGCACTGATAGGTATCTCTTTGGCTTACTGTTTCACAGAATAGAATTGACTTATTTTAGGAACATGCATAATGTTAATGTTCAGTGTTTGGCTGACCACCATTGTAAGCTGTCTTCAGTTGTTCCTATGTAGTTAGAATGAATGTTAGAATACTGCTAGGGAAGGAGATATTTAAAAAAAATTAAATTGGAAATTGATGGTGCTAATAATATTGGTGTTCACTAGTGATGTCCATAAAAGTGGAGCCTGAATACCAACCACACAGTACTGGCTAGGGGCCTGCTGGATGACAGACTGCTATGTCTGTGAACAGAAGATATAGACTGAGGTAGAAAATGTGGAGAGAGCTCAATTCTTGAAACAGCTCACTGCTTTCTGTAGAAACACACAGATGGATAATTGTCCTTTGCACTCTTTTTCTCCATGTTGCTGTGATTGTATATGTGAAAATATATTAGTGAGTTATGATGTTAGTGATGAATGACTAACTTTAGGAATGAGAGAGGCAAGCATTTTTGTGGGTGATATTTTTTATTGGAGCAGCTTGTATATTTCTGAATACAGCACATTCTTCTTTTGCTCTTTACTATATGTCCTATTCTACAGCAATAGAAAATCAGCCAAAGCTTTGCCTGCTGCTTGCATTTATCATCACATTATCATCCTGTATCAAACTTTGAAATCATGTAAAACTAGTGTAGTGAGCCTATAACTCAACTGTGCCCTTTTTCCTGACAAACAGTAAAGTAATGCACTTGTGCAATTGCAGAGGTATCAAACAGCAATTTTTGGTATGTAACCCAATTTTAGAAAGTAGTAGGTAAAGCTAGGCAAGCAGGCTTCAACATGGGTTCCTTGCAAACTCATTAAATACAAGTTCTATCTATGGTAGTAAGTCTTGTTTATTTGTGTATCAGAATGGTTCACGAAATGTTAGAGAGTAAATAAGAATGAACTTACATGTTCTTCTGTTACAGAGGTTGCCTCTCTTCCCCCAATGGCCTCCAACTTCTATGGCCCAGAAGATTTAGAAGTCAGTTCTACATCACAGGTAGTTGGAACCTAATCTGCTGAGATCTTGACATTATTCACGTAGTTCACTTGTACTATACTCAGATCACAGTTCTTAAAGGATATAGACATTTAAAAGTCAAGGAGGGCTCTGTTCTGACATTTGGCATTATCTCTTTTAAGTCTCTGAGGATGCATCTACACATGCATTTGATCCCAGATCAGTTTACTTGCAAGTAAAGTACTTGAGAATAAACATTCCCAGGCAGGCATCTCCCCCTCTGCTGCCACCGTGGGGAACTCCAGGCTCTGGCTGCAGTTACAGCTGCCAGCAGCAGGCAGCCCTCTTGAAAAGGCAGCCCTGCTCTCTGCTCCCTGGCCAGCCACTTTCCTGGCCAGAAGCAGCGTGCACAGTGCAGGGGCAACATGTGGCAGCTGTCTTCTTGTTACTTCTGCCACCCCGTGGCAAGGAGACCACCATGACACCTTCATGCACATGAATGCTGGTGGGGTGGGCAGTGCCCATGATGGCCACGTGTTTCAGAATGCCAACCTGCCAGGCCTGGTGCAGAGCAGGTGCTTTGTGTCAGGGCCAGGAGCTGTGCCCGGAACACCTAGTCTGCCTGGTCCTGCACCTCCACACACTGGTTTCATGTGTCCTTGTGTGCAGTGTCCAGCAGCCACCAGCCCTGTGTGTCATCCAGCTGGTTCCCCAATGCCATCACCAGCCAGGCCTGGAAGACAGTATAGTCCTGGATCTGCCTCTGGTGCATCTTGTACATCCGCAGGGCCCTGGGTGTGGGCAGCATGGACACTGATCCCCCTCATCCTGGCCTCCAAGTGTGGCCTTTCCCCTGCATGTAGTTGCAAGACCTGGAGAGTCATGAGAAAGAAGCTGTTTGTGAGAGTGTGCAACATTTCTCAGATAAGATGCTCTGTACTGGAGGTGTGCGCAGCCTCTGGTTTCAGATGGGAGGCCGGGCATGCACAGGTACCCACAGACTATGGTACATCAGACAGGCAGCCCAGGTAGCTTCTGGGTGAGCTGCCATGCCTGCTCACTTTCCTGAGGCAGGTGGGCTGCTTGGTGCTGGCTGCAGGCAGCCTGCCTCCCCTGTCCTGTTTCCAGGCCAGGACAGGACAGGCTGCTGGCAGCACTTGCTGCTGCAGCTTCAGAATTTGTTCTCCCACTCCCTCTGCACACGCAGGCCAGTCCCTTTTCTGTGCTGCCACCAAGCCCATGGTACCAGGGCTCGCGGGGGGTGGGGCATGGGGCTCCTGGATGACTGGGATGATGAACTGGCTGCATCCCTGCCCTCCCTACATGGGGTCTCTCTGGAGAGGCACCTTGGGGCCAGTGCCCGCCCTCCCGCCCGCACAGGTGCTGCACCCTGAATGTGTCCCTGCTG